AAATGGGTAAACACACTAAAAATGATGGTAAGTATGTGAAATGAACACATTTAACTAAATAATTCTGAAAATTCGAATGATTTTTTATCATGTGATGTTTTTTTTTTGGCTTTATCTGATCCAAGTCTCTGCTTTGTGACGTGATATGCTTTTTCAGACTTTAAACGGCCAAATGAATCGCAGTGGCGGGCCAGCTTTGGCCCGGGGGCCTTCATTTTGACACATGTGATTTAGTAACATGGTAAATTTGGTATCGAGGAGGAACACTTGTTGCCTCAGGCCTCCTGTGACATCACCACATTTTCAGGGACAGTAAATTGGATCTTAACCCTTTATAGGGCAAGATACCGTTTTTGATCATTTGCATACCCCTTACAAATGGAGTCCCCCCGTCCCACAGTGAGGTCTAGAAGAACAAGATCTATAGCCAGCCATTAGGCAAAGATACAGCTATATGGCTGTACATCTTATTTTAGGATATGACCAACTGTGTACCTACTGTGAATTAAGTTGAAAAAAAAGGTAAAAAGCTAATTGAAAACATAAAAAGTAAAGTTAATAAGCCTCGTTAACAACTATATTTAGGTTTATAAACTAAAAAGTGTAATTGCCAGTATCAGCATTAATGCCTCTAATTCCAATAATTTAAAGAATAAAAATTTCTCTTTCATTAATTTCTCATAGAAGCACTTTTGTTATTCTTCTTAATATATTCGGGCAAGTTGGAGTTTCTTGTTATTAAATTGACATTAATTTTTGCCATCAAAATATCCATATCTTTTAATGTTACAAAGGAAATAAGGTCTTGTCTTCAGAGGCGTAGCCAGAACATTTTTATAAGGGTGGCTAGGCAATAACCAATGAACACTGAAGGGTGGCCAAAAGGGGATAGGCGCCAAAATTAGGGTCAATCTATACTGATCCAACAGGAACATGAACAACCACAGCATCCATATTTTCCAAATAAAGACTAACTATACTTTCCTACAACCTTTGCTAACAAATAGACGCATATATTTAAACATCCAGGGTATAGTGGCTAAAGTTCTTTCATGTTTGAGTTCCAGGTTGAACATCTTTTCCATTGTCATTACCTACTTTTATCAATAATCATTCTGAATAAAATTGATATTTAAAAATACTAACATCTACAAAAATTGTTTATTAGTAAGTTTTTATTAGAATAGTTATTTATCTATTATTTAACTGAAGACTGACTTGCATTTTCTCTTTAGCCCCTTTAACACAAAATCTAGTTCTGAAAAGAGCATGAGTTCTGTATTCATCATCTTTAATGTTAGTATATTGATTTGCATAAACAACCACAGTGTTTTTGTTGTCAAGTAATTGTTAATCTATGACAAATTAAAATGTTTTTAATATTGAGAGTATTACTGCTGCCAATGTCAGTATTATGGGGGGAAAAATGGTGGGGTGGGCCAATGATCAGTGGTGTCAAGTAACAAAGTACAAATACTTCGTTACTGTACTTAAGTACACTTTTTAGGTATCTATACTTTACTCCATTACTTATTTTTCTTCCTACTTCTGACTTC